TTGGATGAATGGCCTCTTTGATCATCTTGATGACCTCTTTGTCCTCAGTAATCTTCACAACAGATGCCTGCTTATAGTTCAGTTGAAACTTCACACAAAATGCAAATTCATTGTCTATTAGTTTGTCCAAGTGTTCAGAGTATATTTGGGGATGATCTTCGTTGGACTACAGATATATATAAGGTAAATGTTACATAGTAATATAAATGATTCAAAGAAATTGGTTGCCAAAGATATTGTAGCATGACTCTGTAAAAAAAAATAGAATATGGGCTGCACTTTGTTGGCATCACAAATATAAAAGACAACAGCACATTCAGCAGCATTGTAGCATCACAAATGTAAAAGACAGCAACATTTCAGCAGGTACAGAGTTTATGAGAGACAACAGCATTTCCGCAGCATTGTAGCATTTCAGCATTTCATGTGAATATATTCAAAGCAAATATATTTCAAGTACAAATAAGTAGACAATATATCAAGCATATGTTAAACTACAAAATATGGACATACCTTTTTCATGATTTCTCTTAAATCATGTGCCGACATTCCAACGTATTTGATACAATCATTGTCCCAAAACACAAAATAACCGCAATTTCCTGCATACTCGACCTCAATTTCGATCTTATACCTAATGAATTGGTTGCAATGCAATAAAATTAACAAACAGATGCATATAAGGTGATAAGTTTATATATGTTACAAATAAGAATGATGTGCTTACTTGGTGATAGGTGTTGGTATGTTTTCACAGCAAGTGTATATGAATGGCTCACCAGGTGACTTGTTAGTCTTGTTACATGCTGGACATTGTTCATAGTACCAACCAAACTTACTTGACTTAAACCTCTTAGTTGTACCAATAGTGTTGCAAAAAGTTTGCTGTAAAGATGCACATGGAATGTATCACAACATTTGTAAAGAAGCAAACAAAATAGATATGGGATTTACAATTGAAAATAGCTTATGATTGAGACTAAGAAGCTTACGTTTTGCAGACTAATGATTTCCCCGATTGTTTTAACGTCATTGGTGTAGGAAAAAGACTTGTCAACAAAAGACCCTTGAGATGCACAGGACTGAGATAATGGTTGTGACATCACCTGGGAAGTTACATTTCCACCCAACCTAAAAACAAGTGAAGCATTATATAAAGTGCAGTACATTAAAGGGACTGCATCATACATGATTTAAAGGTTATGGCTTACTTAGACTTGAATGAGGTGACTTGAGGATGAACATAATCGAGAAGCATTTTTGTTCCATGCCGCACATTGGAGATGTACACTTTTTCGGTTGCTGTGAAAAGTGAATTTTCATATCAATAACTATAACATGGACAAATTACAGTGGCATATCAATAGCAAGCATTACCTGAACTTTGTTGGCGCATGGCATGAGTGATGACGATAATAGTCAGGCCATGTGCAGTTTTCTCATTTGTGTAGGCCATAAACTGAGTGGCATATGCTTCCCACAAAGTCATATCAATTTCAGAACCACTAATAACAAACAAAGAGAAGTAATTAATAAACATCAATCAAATAACAAATAAAGAGATAAATAAGGCATTATATGATATATATATATATATATATACATTTCATCGGATATGATAAGGTTGACGCAAGCCTTCTTTCTGCCACCCGCAACTTAAGTCTTCACAACTTCGTGAAGCACACCTATCACATCTAAATGAAAGAAAGGCCAAATAGTCAGAATAATGATTTTCAATAACATGTCATCATGCTGGTAATGTGAGGAAAAAACATTGCGAATACCATATAAGCGATTTACTCGAAAATCTCTGTGTAAGAAATCAACAATGGGTTTGAAACAAAACTGGTAAGTAGGCATTTCTGGCATGTCAACCACCGTTACCGTGGTACCACCATTGAAGACAAGCTTCAACGGGTTGTCACATACTTTCAAGGCAAGATCGTTGTTTAACGGGTCACCATTATAAACCATGACAGTTTGATGTTCTCGTAGTCTCTGCTTCCATAAATCGAAATCCCTATTGTGAGTCACGACGTGTATTTTGTCACACTATGAATGAAAACAACTGTTAGGACACCTTGTAAGTTTAATAACCGTAACATGACATATTAACATTCTATAACAATAAATGTATACCTTGCTATCTTGGAGAACACCTTCAAAGTGTCGTTGTCCGTTACGGTCCTTCACGATCCACAAATCAATGACACGAGCTGCGAGCTTCCATACGTTGTTACCTATCTTCAAATCAGCAATCATAATGAGTGCCCTAGACATATTGATCTGAAAAGTACAAACAACACAAAAATACGAGTAACCAAACCATTAGCAAAAATGCTGAACATAAAAAAGCTGATAAATAAAAAATGAAAAACCTGTCTTGAAACATGAAAAATGCTGAATATAAAATAACAGGGTTTCAATAAGCAAAAATATATAACCAACTGTTACATTGGCGAAAAACCATGAATGAACAATGGAAAAATCAGTGGCAATGGAAAAACAAAAGTCGTTGAACGGTGAACGGCAGCATACGCGAGAAAGTGGAAATGAAGCTGTCGAAGGATGAACGTCTTTGATTTTATGCTTGTCTTGCGTGAAATACCAGAACAGCGGGGAGAAAGACGAGAGGAAGTAGGAATTTGGTGTTTGTATGAGAGCTGCAGGGAGAAAGACTGGGAAATACTTTTTGAGCTTGTGAAAGAGTGAGAAAGAGTGGGAAAGAGTAGGAAAGAGTGAGTTGGTAAAGAGTGAGAAAGAGTGGGAAAGAGTTGGAAAAAGTAAGTTGGTAAAGAGAAAGAATAGACCAATTGGTGAGGGACAGGTGGATGAATGTGAAGATTTGGAGCATTTGAAAGAATTGAATATGTTATTTACTGTTATGTCCTTGAGTTAGACATAATTATTTTAGGTGTGAAGGGTATAATTAGTAAAATGGTGGCAATTGATAGTAATAGATAGGCAGTTGACTAGAAGAGAACACTAAAGATAACATCATTTTTATAATAGTCACGACAGAGACACTTCATAAAAAAAATTGTAATACATCTTAATAACACTACAATGCATATAGAGAAATGATTTTAATAGGTTCCCAGGATCCTTGTGAGCAAATGCACTTATTTGTTTTTGGAATAAAAAAATATTTTTCTCTAAAAATAAAGAAAAAATATATTTTTTCCAAAAGCTTAAAACATACCTAAAGTCTTTTATTTTCAATCAATTTTCTCTCTCCTTCATTATTATCATCCACTTATTTAAATCTAATAATTTAGAATTATTCTCATATTCTCAAATAAAAATAACATTCTCATAATATATATATATATATATATATATATATATATATATATATATATATATATATATATATATATATATATATATATATATATATATATATATATATATATATAACAAATTATATTATAATAATACACTTAAGGGAATACTGGGACAATAATTATATATAATAATATAAAAAGTTTCCTTTGAAAAATAAAGGATATATTTTATATTTATTTTAGCTTAATACACGATTGTCAGCATTGAAATCAAAATAATTCTTTCGTCCATTTTCGTTGCAGGATTTCCATCCAACATTATTCATATTTAATAATTAATAATGTATATAAATTATTAATACTTATAAATCTAATATTATTTTACATAAATTTAATAAATATGACTGATAATAATATATAAAATAATTTTATACTGTTATTCGATAAAAATTTAATTATTTCATACTATATTTTTAAAAATTACATTATGATATGATAGTATATGATAATGATTGATTGATATATAAAATTATTTTATCCAGTTAATATATATTTTGATTCCCTTTTAAAAAATATCTGAAGGATAAAAAAATTCAAAAAAAAATCTTATTTTAAATATTAAATAGTTTCCCGTTAAAGGTTTTTTTTTTCTTCATATTTTATGTATCCATTTCTTACTTAAAATATTAAACAAAGTATTTTAAATAGTATTAAATTCAGGAGATTTAATCATCGCTTAATACTACTCATATAATAAAAACAAATCCATCAACACATCCAGTTAATGAAAACTGGTATGCTTTCATGTATAACTTTTAAATCCGTCAACCAAAACTTCTACTTTTAAATATAAAAGAAAAAAGTGGTACATGTTCTTTAAAAGTAGTATTGGTATTTCAATTTTGCTCTCTATTTTAATTATTTTATAAAAACATAATATTTATATTTTCCCAAAAGTTCTTTCATTTTATTTTTGATTTAAACATAGTTTTAGTCGGCTTATTTTGTCACATTCATAAAAAAATAAAAAATAAAAATAATTTTAAAAACAATCCATTTTTTTCTTCTTCTTCTACTAGACTTATTGCAATTTTGATTTCAATCAATATTCATTATTAAAAAATTGTGACTTTTAACTTTTAAAGGTTAAAAGTAGTGACTTTTGTTTTAATTATATAATTAAATATTTACTTTTAATTTCTATAAATAAATTATCTTCTATTTTTAAGTCATTCTTTATTGTGTCACCGACTTTATAAGACAGGTCTAAATTTTGACGGAAAATATTCAAAAAATATTTTAGAAAGATTGAAAAACAAAATTTGATGTATTTACAAAACAACAAATTTATTTCATCCCTAAGTAATTCAATAAAAAAACATCAATTTGTGCCCAAAATCACAATTTTTGAAATCAAATATAATTAAATTTGTAATTATTATTACAATAATTGTGATAAAAAGGATAAAAATTACAATAAAATTTGTATTTATTATTTATATATTTGATACGAATTATGTATATGGTAATCTTAGTTATTAAGAAAGAGTTGTTGTTCAGAAAGAGAATTGTCCTAAAAACTGCAAATATAATGTTTAAAGAAACATGAAGTTAAGTTAGTAGCAAACAGAAGCTTTTCAAATTTTCATCTCACAAATATTTGTCTTTTCTCTTTTCAATACGGAAAGCTCGATTCTGTCTGATCAACAAGACATGGCCGGAATGTCAGCCGTAATAATGGTTATTTGTGTTTTACCGTCGATGCTGCTGGTGGCCAAAGATATTACTTCACCGGTAATAAGGTTACCGTCAGAAGCAAGTATAGAAGGGAAGAACGAGTGCTCAGGGACGGTGGCAGCGTCGTCGTCGTCGTCATGGTGTCCTGTGAAGTGTTTTCGGACGAATCCGGTATGTGGCGTGGACGGCGTGACGTACTGGTGTGGTTGTGCTGAAGCTGCATGCGCTGGTGTGAAAGTTGGGAAGATGGGGTTCTGTGAAGTAGGAAATGGCGGTTCGGATCCTCTGTCTGCTCAGGCATTTCTTCTTCTGCATATTGTGTGGCTTATTGTTCTTGCATTTTCTGTCCTTTTTGGTCTTTTTTAGTTCCTTCATATTTTGGTCTTTTAGTGGAATAGAATATAGAGTATAGTAAATTATGGCTTTGTAATTGACTCAACTCCTTCATTGGAGAATTCCGGTCACATGTTTTTCATCAGCCAGACTAGCCCTTGACTAAGGATATATATTCTCATTCAATAGAAATTATTAATCTAATATCTTATTATTTAGATATTATATTATCGTTGGATATTTTCTTCTCTATTCTCAATAACATTAGTTATCAAAAGAATAATATTCAATAGCAATTAATATTTATTACTTTCTCCTTCCTAAAATAAATTTTATATTTAGAAGAATTGTTTGTTTCAAAATAGTTGTAATTTTAAGCAGTATTAATTTTTATTTTTCAATTATTTTTTCTAATTAATATTCATAATTTATTTATTTTTTTACATTAATATTAAATCAAATATATTAATAGTTAATAAAAATAATTTGATGATGTTATTCTTTCTTTAATTTATTATATTTTTTAATATGTGTAGAGTGTTAAGGATGACAGAATTATTTTTGTTGTTTTTTTTCTTTTTCAATAAAGGGACAATAATTAATATTTAATGTGTGTGAACTATTAAAATATTGAGCTATGCCTATTTCACTTTTCTTTGGTCTTGGATGAAGGGCATATTATTTTTAGAAGTGTTTGGCTTATATATTATGAAAAAAATTGCCAAAAGGAAAAGTAAATATTAAGAAAGAAAGGAATCATCGCAAAAATTATCTAATTTTTTTCATTTATTTTTAATTTAAAATTTATTTATTTATTTATTTAATTGTTTTATCAATGAATTTTATTTGTTTATTTATGTTTATTGTGAAAATTTTAATTTATTTTATTAATGAGAAAATAAAATATGCATCAACCGTGTAAACCAATCACTATTATTTATTATGTCAGATTTATTATGTCACATGAGACTGAAATATTTAAGTAAATAATATTTTAAGTGATGAATTTTTATTAAATATTAATATAAAATTATTTTATATTAATAGTGCATATTCATTAAATTCTTTATTTAAAATGGTATCAATTCAAAAATTAAATAAAAGAAAAAGAAGAGAGTTAAAGTTTTTTTATATACAAAGGGAAATTTTAGATAATAATTTATAAAAAAAATACCTAAAAAAGTTTATTTAAACAAATTAGGTAATTGTCCGGTGAATAAACATTTTAAAAGTGTATAAATTAACAACAAAAACATATAAAAATAATTCAAACGGCTTTTTTATTTCTTGTAAGAAGTTTCATATAACTTTATATTGGTGGTGTAATTGACTTTTTTGGTGTGCATTACTTCTGGTATTCCTTTATTAATACAATGATTCTGATTGTAAAAAAAAAAAAAAAAATCAATCTATCAAGGAGTAGAAAATCTATAAGAATGCATTCTTAGCTGTTTTGTACAAAAGTCTTCCTAAATGCATATAGATATATATTAAAAAATGGTTAAGTAGTCACATATTAATAAGAGGTTAGCCAAAATTCGGAAAAGAATTTCCTTTTCTATTTAAGATCAATAATATTTTAATAAAGTTTAAATACATTAGTTTTATTATTGATTGAATGCAAATATTAAACAAATTGATTATAATAATTTTTAATAAATATCTTACATTTTAAAAAGTTTTAAAATTGTTTTTTATTATGAAAAATTCCTTATTAGTTTTTTTATTAATAATTGAAAAAATATTATACAATTCGTCTTAGATCTCAATATCTATTCGGTTGATTTGCTTTTCATATTTTATAGGATCAATATTATAACTAAAAAAATCTATTTTATTTAATATAATACATTTTAATAGATAATAATAGATTCATAAAATCATTAAAAGATATTTTTTTTACCCAAAAATTTACTTTTTTCAACCATTTAAAAATACAAAATAATTTATAATTACATTAATATTAACATTCTTTAATGTATCTTTTTTATTTGGCAAAGTTGTCCTATCTCTTATGATTTAAATACATTTTAATCAACTTCAATTTCGATTATATATATATATATATATATATATATATATATATATATATATATATATATATATATATATATATATATATATATATATATATATATATATATATATATATATATATATATATATATATATATATATATATATATATATATATATATATATATATATATATATATATATATATATATATATATATATATATATAAAGAGGGGTTGATATGTGTATAAATTTTTTATAAAATTATGAATATAAAAAAATAGGTTGATATGTGTATGATTTTTTAATAATCATATGTTAGTATTAAAAAATGTAATACTCTAAAATCTTGAGCATTTGGTCATCGCACTTCTGGTCTTGTTTATGGTTGGTTATAACTTTTCTATAAGCTATTTTGTTCAGATACATAGTATTGTATTGTATTTATTTCATTGCAAACAATTAAATCAATCCTAAAATTAAAAGATTTTGTATGTAAATAAATACAACTCAAATAGTCACATTTATTCCATTTTATTTTCATCTTTATTGGGTAATAACCGGCCAAATATTACTACTATAACTAATATTATTCCAAAGTTTTGCTCAAATGTTAAACTACTTTATGAAGTCAAATGGACCCCACCATTAACACATTCTAACACTTCATCAATTCTGTATTTTTGTTTTATTCTAAATTCATTTGTTGTAAAAACCAATACGTAAGAATCTTTAATATGACAACTCATATTTGAGTAAGCATGTTTTTTTGTAGTTTGTAAAAATCAAGGAGGACTAATAAGAACAAAGAATCGAAGTCGTGTCATGTTGCATTTGATTGATACAATATAGATGTATTTTTTCTCCTCCTACAACTTCCATTCCATCACCAATACATAAACCAGATTTTATTTTTATTTTTATTTTGGTATCATCAAAAACAAATTTTTAAAGGGTAATAAAATGAGTGCAATATATATTTGACCCAAAAATTGTGTACAACTTATTGCTGAAACAGTAAACAATTAATGCTTATTTATTTTATTAATACTCAAAACAATTAGTACATAGATATAAAACATTGTCTTCAAAATTAAGGTGACCACTTTGGATTTACTAGAACCGACATTGAATCGTTGAATCGTTAAACGGGAGCGCCACTTTGGATTTTGAAATGGGTAAAGGATTGAGACAAGGTGACCCGTTATCCCTTTTCCTTTTCATTATTGTTATGGAGGGATTAACTAAACTCATGAAGACTGCTATAGATAGAAGGCTCTTTCATGGGTTCAAGGTTAACGACTTTTGTTTGTATAGCATTGTGCAATTTGCTGACGACACCCTTTTAGTTGGAGAGGGAAGTTGGGATAATCTATGGTGCATTAAAGCTATTCTTAGGGGTTTCGAGATGGTGACGGGACTGAAGGTCAATTTCTCTAAAAGTTGTGCTTCTGGTGTTAATCTTAAGGAGGAATTCCTAGTTGTTGCGTCCAATTTCCTGCACTGCGGAGTTTCTTCCCTACCTTTTAAGTTTTTGAGGATTTTGGTTGGAGCTAGTCCTAGACTTGCTAAGTCCCGGGATTCGGTTTTGGAGGTTTATAGAAGAAGACTGGCTCTTTGGAGGAATAAAAACCTTTCTATGGGTTGAAGGGTGGTTCTGATAAACTCTGTTCTGAGCTCCATTTCGTCTTTTACATTATCCTTTTACAAAGCTCCTATAAAGATGTTGAAAGAAATTGTTAAGATTCAGTCTAGGTTCTTGTGGGGAGGAAACTCCGAGAGGAAGTACATGTACTAGATTAGCTGGAATACGGTCTGTTTGCCGAAGGACAAAAGAGGCCTAGGAATCAAGGACATTGTAATATTCAACAAAGAATTGATTATGAAGTGGAGGTGGAGGGCTATTTTGAAGGATCAAGCAATTTGGAAAGGTATATTAGATCACAAATACGCACTTCTTAGTTCTAACCTAACTGTTGGTGTTCCGAGCAAAGGTATGAGTGGAGGTGGAGGCAAGCAGTCCATTTGGTGGAGGGGCGTTATGAGTATTGGTTATTAGAAGTAATTCATATTTATTAGTTGTACTATTTTCTTAGCCCCTAAGTTTGTTAGAGGGTATTTTAGTATTTTATCTTATTCTAGTAACCCTAGTGTTAGCTTATAAATAGGGTAGCAATCATTGCAAATCATTGCAATTTGTGTGGTTGTGTGTGTAGCCGTCATTCTCTTAATAGAATATTTCTCTATTCATCAGTTATTCTACCTTTACACCAACAATTGGTATCTAGAGCTCCGGTTCGGATTCATTTGGAAACACGGGAAACACGAGTGAACGTGAGGCCTTGTGTGTTTGATTTTGTTTCTTAGATTCGTGTTGAATCTTGAACAAAATCTGATCAGAATTTTAATTCTGCGGGTTGGGAAACACTGTGTGAGAAATCTGAGTGTACTGTGCAAGGTAGAAGATGAACAGAAACGGCAACACGAACACCAAACTTCCAGTATTTGACGGTAAAAACGGGAACCGTTGGATGATCCAAATGCGTGTATTGTTCGGTGCTCAAGATGTTCTAGATCTTGTCATTGATGGTTATATTCCGGTAGCAGCTGATGCGATGGATGAACAGAAAAATGCGCAGAAGGAAGTAAGAAAAAAGGATCAGAAAGCATTGTTCTTCATTCATCAATGTGTGGATGTAAATGTGTTTGAGAAGATTGCAGATTCAACAACAGCAAAGGTTGCGTGGGACAGACTGGTGCGATGTTATGGTGGTGACGCATCAGTGAAGAAGGTGAAGCTTAAGTCCTTGAGAAAGCAATATGAGAATCTCAACATGAAGAGTAATGAGAAAGTCTCTGAATACATATCCAGAATGATTCTGATCACTAATGAGATGAAGGCGTGTGGAGAAACTCTTTCTGAAGAAGCAATCATGGAGAAAGTATTGAGATCCCTTACCTCTCAATTTGATTATATTGTGGTAGCAATAGAACATTCCAAAGATCTGAGCACCAT